CGTACACAGGTAGCTCTGAAACATATGGATCGGAACTTTATATCGGAAATTTAACCCAATCGAAATACTTTCCTTACCTAGTATAGGTAGGAAAGTAAAAACCACTATGGTGTGTGCTTAAGACCACACGATAAAAGTGAAAATATCAACAAGCCGGGATAAATAATATGATATATAATTTTTTTTTTGTCTATATTCACAAAGTAATAATATTTACAATCCTAATTTATTCGACTAATTAAAAAAATATCTATAATGCAAATCGGATTCTGAATTGGAGTTCTGAAGAGGAAGCAAGGTTAGAAACGAGAGAGTTAGGATGATTCTGAAGTTTACTATGGAAGGGTAGTTATATGGATTGGGCCAGATCTGAAACATAAGAAACATTAAAGTCATTATGGATTGTTTTGTTTGTAATAAAGTCGAGAGGATTGAGGATTTTACGAAGGATTTTAGATTTTAAGGATTGGATACGAGAGGAATTCGATGGTTTAGTGGAGCCCCATAGCTCAACTCCGTAAGTCCAAATAGGCCTTATTATAGCCATGTATATGAGTCTTTTGTAATTAATTTGAAGTTTAGAGCGTTTGTCTAGTAAGTGCTGAAGTAATCGGAAACGTCGAGCTGTTTCTTGTCGTTTCTGTCTGGTATGATTTAATTTTTAAGATATTTTAATATAAATGTTTGTTATGGTCGTTATTACTTGATTTAGTGGCGCTATTTTTTTCCTTTCTGACTCACTAAGCAGCTCTCAAGTCAAAATTCAATTTTTAACTACAGTTTATTACAAAGAGGACAAAATGAACTTCCGATCTCAGTTCCGATTTTCAGTTCCTGAGATATTTTAATCCAAATGCAAAAATTAGTCGACTTACCCTAATGATCGTTACATAGCCGAGCCTAATCGCTCAGCCTCATTCATTATCCACAAAATAAATAGCCGAAAGCGCCGAAAGAAGTTTTCATTAAAAAAAAATATGGACTCATTTTAAAGCTGAAAATACCAGTAACAGATAAAAGAAAGTTATTCGATTTCACTCTATCAAGCCGTTCATAAATAATTAATTCGTGAATAAAACAAAACTCTAATTGTATAAATTATTCAATTGTGTTTGGAGAGATCAAGTATGCAAATCACTTCAATTTCATACACAATTCGAATCTAACATCTATGGAGCGTAAACCATAGATGGCGTTGGCTATACCCTGTCATTTGTAGGTGCATTATTGAGGAACCTAAATCCATTATAACCTGATTGATTCGTAGATATTCCAAGGTAGAGGTGAATTTCACGACATCTTTTCCCCAAAACCTATCATACCTTATATTCCATTTATTTATTTTTTTTCCATCTTTATTTGCTAAGTTATTCTTTATTATCTTATCTATAAACGAAACATTAATTCTAGTTGAAAAATTAATCAAATATATTTTTCTACTTTTATTTATTCTTTTTGCTCTTTTAATATTTTGCCTTGAATGCAGTGAATTTTCTTAATGTTGATTTTGTAAGAAGTACTTCTATATTTTTCTGTCCAAGAACCATTCATCTCACAAACCATATTCTATCAAAGATCCTTCTATTTGATCATCCCAAGATTTTCTGGATCGATCTCGTCTTTTTATTCCATATATTTTCCAAAATTATTCATCACCTTGTGATCTTCTTCCTTTCAACCTTTTTAACAGTGGGTAACTTCTGAGGGATTTGTTTCAATCATCATCGATGTTTTTTTCTTTTTATACACTTTTTGTTTCTTTTTTTTTTAATTTATACTTTGATTCATTCTAAATGTTCTCCCTGAACGTAGTCAGTGATCCATTGCCGTTGTCAGGAGTTCATATAATTATAAAATAATGTTCCTGAAATTTAAAAAAAAAATTAATAAATAAATGTATATAATAATAATAATAATAAATCCTTTATTTACTTCAGGACAAGCAATTTTAAAACGATATTACAGAAAAAATGTTGTAGGGTATAGAGTCTTAAATTAAAAAATAATTTACGAAAAAGATAAATAAATTATAGGTTAGGAAATACTTAATATTATATAATATTTTAAAGTAAGAAATAAATAAACATAGAATGATAATAATTAAAAAAATAATTTACGCATTTTTACTGTTGTTTTTTTTATGAAAATAGAAAATATCTATTTACACTTTTTGAAATCTTAATTTACTAAGCCTTGCTATGTTAACATAAAACACCTTGAAAATGTTGGCCAACTTCTTTGAGTATATTTGCAGTAAAAAATAATATTTTAAAAACTTAAAGTTTCTATCCATTTATAAACTTTGTCTGAAAATTCAATTTGCAATTCTTTGCTAGTAGATGCATATTAAGTGATTGAATAGGCATAATTTAAAAAACATTAAAAAAATTTAGCTAAATGAAGTAGACCAGTAGTTAATTACTCGAAAAAACGTCCGATAAATAATTGCAGTATATAAATGTATTTCTTTATACTTCTTTTGTTTTTATTGTATTGATAATTTTTCTATTGTTGATGAGTTTTTTTGATAAGCTTGTAATAAAAACTGACTTATCTTCATATAACTTTTTCAGGATATATCATTCTTCAGCAATGAAGCGAAAATAGGGTAATAAAGATATGGCTCCTGTTTCAAACGATTTCCAAGTTTCTCTTTCAACAAAATTCCTGAAATAGTATATTGAAGAAATGAAAGAATATATTGAAATTTGTGTTTGTTGGCCTTTATTCAAAATTATAGAGTCGATGAAATTAAAACGAGGTTGTTAATAATAATCGCTTTTTCTTTAACAGAAACTTAGATTTAATAGTCGAATTCATAGGATAATTTAACGAGATATAACAAAAAAAAAAATAGAAATTTAACAGTTTAATATTTGAAATATGGAAGTTTGTTTCTAATACAAAGCGTTCCATTGGTTATATAACTTATTCAGATAGAACTTTTAACTTAAGAAAAGTTTATTGTATCACTAAAGCCAATATTGTATTACTAAAGAGAAGGTAGATATTCAGGCATTTAGAGCTTGGGGAGATTTATTTTGCAAGGTCCCATAATATAATTTTTTTTTTTTAACTTTTATTATGATATTTACAACTGTATTAGTATGAATACATCAAGTAAATTTGTACAGAGAAATATTATTACATGAAACACGCTTGTTGAGAAACTACCCACTGATAGGACTCTAATAATTTGTCTACATGAGAAGATCACGAGGCCATATTCTTTTCAGACGCCTCGGAGGGTTATCAGGAATCGAAGAGAAAACAAGGTTAGAAACAAAAGGATTCGGATGGTTATGAAGTTTATTATGGAAGGATAGGTATCTGGATTTGGCCAAATCGGAATATATAAAAATTAAATTAAATTCTTATAAATAAAACCAATAACGTTATCGTTTTAGGCTATAAGGGAGTTTCCTGGCCCAAGAGAGATGGCGAGGAAGATATGTCATAGTTAAAATCTCACACCTCTCGTCTCTCCTCCCTCCTCCCCCATCAGCGGGATTTGAATTCGTAAAACTCCATTTATCACAGATCGCTCAGGGCAACGCGTGTTATGTACGAACATATTATAAAATATTTCACAATGATTTACACGGACATACCAACTCACTGATTCGAGGCATGGCCAAAACCAAGATATCCGATAGTACCCACAGGATACTCAAAAGAAGTTGGATGAGGATTCTCCTCCATTGACAACAAATATCAAATTCAAGACAGAAAGTGAGGCCGCTGGGTACTCCTCTTCTTCACGCCTACCAGCGAATTATTACAATGTCTGCTTCTTGACATCACACTGGCTGGTTGCCGGTACTTCTGACAGGTGTGGTTGAAAATATAATTATTTTCCTTATCTTTATTTACGTATTTTAAATTATTTTTTATTTCAATTTTATCATTATTAATTTATAATACGAATTTCAAACTATACCATAGTTATTAACAGTATGTACCGTTAGGGGTGTCTTTGGCATGAGGCTATACCACTGCTTTATAAACTACTAAAAATTTGACTCATTGTTAAATACCCTTGTGTGGCTCACTAAACCAATCTGCAAATAAAGAACATATACAGTCGCGGTCATAGAAATTCTTCACCAAGTGAAAAATTTTATTAAATCTTATATTATTTATCAAATAATTGCTACTGCAAGATCTCCGGATATTTTGTTTCCTGTTATGAAACCATATTCTAAAAACAATCCGTTTGTTTTTACTCCTTCCAGTTCCCTTCTATAGTACCTTTTTTTTCAAAACTATGATTTGCCGTTGTTTGGTTGTACCCTATCTTTTTTTTATTTCCCGTGAAGATTCCTTCACTTCAGTTTTTGATACAGGTCATAAATAATGATTTTCTACTGGCATTAGTTCAAACTGAACTGAGAAACATTATTTTTTGTAACCTTAATAAGTAAAGAAAAGTAAAAATATGCAATGGAATAACGTTATCAACATAAGAATAAAAAAAAAAATAATAAAATTTCTATGACCGGGGCCGTATATCACCAACTCAAATTACAAAGTTTTGTGCATCGGCCCATTTTGTTGGAAGATAAATATATGGTTTATTGTAATTTTATGTTTGCGACTCATTAAAATTATCATTAACTCCAATTCTACATACAATTATTTGAATTTTTAAAGTTTATTTTTTTTTAAATCCATAACTTGATGTGATTCATAATACAGAACGAAAATATTCCTTCCTTCTTATACAGTGAATACAATGCTGTGTTAAATTGTTTTAATTTGAAAAGATAAGACATCCTTCGGAAATATAAAAAAGAAAAAGTAAAATCTATTAAACTTTTGATTTAAAATTAAAAAAAGCTTTTGGTGAACGTAAAACAGTAATAATTAGAAGATAATCGCTTGTGACAAAGTCAAGTTCGCCTTGAGGAGGTGTGTAATAATTAAGGTGCTAAGAGCGGCGAGGCTAGGATTAAGCGAAGAGGGAGTCACGCAGACTGTTCAACAATTCAGTCTGTTGGCGACTGCTCAAGGAGTGACATGGCAGCACCACTGCGGCTAGGGGTCGCCGGAGCTGTCCTCTCATTGGTCGGAATCATCTTCGGCTTCTGGGGGTTCCACAAGTTCATCGCCTACAAGATAAACCAGGTGAGGATGGAGGAGGATTCCATCGCATACTCCGGAGATTTCAACACCCGACCAACATGGAGTCTGGACTTTTACCCGGCTTGAAAAGTGTTGGGTGCCATTTTATGTTGGGTTTTGTTTTCGACGTTAATTGGTCTGCGTAATAGTGATTGCTTTGCCTCGAGTTGAAATACAAGCTAAATGCTAAAAAAATTAAATAAAATGGAAAACATAGGCGTGCTTAAATCACTCTAAATTACAGTGAAGTTAAATTGTATTTTATTTTTTAAAACAATTCTAAAAAAAAATATGATGAATATAATCCAAAAAACATTTAAAATTATAATTTTTGTATATGTATTTTTATTCAATACATTGAAAAAAAGGATCAATTTGGTAATATAATCTTAAATTTAATAATATTTAAGAGTATAACATTGAAAACAAAAGAAATGTTAAAAGTTTCTTACAAAAAGTTCTCTTTACATATTTTTACTTTACTCTCTTAATCCAGTTCTCTACTGCTGAGCGGTTACATATTTTTAAAAGAAGATTTTTGAGTAAGAAATGGGAAAAATATAGTTTTCGAAAATAAAAATTATACCGTTCAACTACATACCAAAACAAAGATTTAAGCATAAAATTTTTTGATCCAAGAAAGATTTTTCGGAAAACCAAATGGTAACGTAATACTACTTAAGTTTCATAAAAAAATGTTTCACCATTTAAACAAAATAAAAATAAGGAAGAATGGTGATATAAATATTTCTAAACATTTTTGTTCAATTGTTCTTCTAATTTATTTTACTCCGGATCGTGCAAATCAGGAGAGATACTAACGAATATTTTTTTAGGGAGGGTTTTAACAGATAACTATACTTCTTCTACGATGGTAAATGAGAAAAAATAATGAAAATTAAAATTCTTTGAATAAACTTTTGAGCCCTTTCCAACGAGTATAATTCAACCTAGTTACAGGATACTAGTCTTTCGTCAGAAACCAACCGCGCTGAGGATTAGAGGACATGATTTGATACTTCAATATTTGCAGTCACATTAAACTTTTATAATTTAAGCCTAGGTTTCATCATCTTTAATAAAACAAAAAGATTACAAAACTGGACACAGCATTATTGCTAGTTGAAAATGAGTGATCGGAGATTCGTCTTTCTTGTAATATTATTTCATAACTGGCTATTTCCTCAGTTATTTATTCATATATCTTTTGATATATTTTTCGAATTAATATTAATAAAAATAAAACGAAATTATTATCTTTAAATTTCAAACAACTATAGGATATATGATAGTGAAACTATTATCCAATATTATCCAAACACGGTGAAATTAAATAATTTAATTCATTAAAATTATACGTATACTTTTATTAAAGTTCTGTCTATACATCGACGTTTTCCATTTGCGAATTTTCAACGCTCCATAGTTTTCAAATTCAACATTACTAATTTTATTAAATATATATTTCTACAATTGTTTTATGTTTACTTCATTAACGAATTTATTACAGGCGACATTTATGAAAAACATTAATTTGTCAACAGTCAAAAATATCATTCATTTACCGAAATTACAGATCACAATTCTTGAGAAAATGCGTTTAAATAAAATATACATTTTTTTTAATGTATTCTTATATTGTATATATATATATATATATATATATTAAAAGATTTACTTAAACAATAATTAAAAAAAAATCAATTAATAATTATCGGTACTGTCAAATATCCTTGGTTGTCCTCGATTAGTCCTCTAGCATCAAGGTCATGGGTCTTCTACTCCACTGCCCCAAATATTCGCGTCATGTTCTCTCTTCCCCAAATCTTTTCTGCTATAAACTTTATCATTCTCTATTTTGTTTCAACAAGTAAGAAACGTTTAGAAATCAGTTTCAAAATTTCTTTGAAACAAAGATATTCAGATGTTGATAATCATTTATTTTAGTTTCATTATTTATAGTTATTTCGAAGTTTTAATGATAACCTTCATCCAACAATTTTTTATGCATCGTCATATTTAAAAATTTAATTATCTTAAAAAAACTTTGATTTTTATTGTAATTTGTAGTATACGAAAAAATCAAGATGGTAGCCTAGTAAAATGTTAATTATAACATTAACATACATATCAATCGATAAATATAATCAACATGTGTAGTATTTTTTTTTTAATGGAAACTTCACAGATAAAGTGAAATATATTTTAAAGTGCAAAATATATTCTGAAACATCCTAAAACAAATAAAGAGTAAAAATAAAGAAGAATGTCATTAAAAATTATAAATGATGAAATCATAAATAATAGAACTAAAATACTAATCAACGAAACATAATAGAAGATAAGATGACATAATTTATTTTTTTCTATATTTCAAAATATAAATAACACTAAAATACACTATTCACAATAACGTTGAACGTAACTGCATTTCTAATTTTTTTAAAATAATTAACTGAAATAATTAATAATTAAATATAAAATCTCATAATAAGTTAAAAAAAAAACTTATGTGCTTACACAATAATTTGTTAATAATAAATTAAAATATTAAGTGAAAAAAATCAAGCAGAAATTTATTTACATGATTATTCTTTTTTTGTATTCTTTTCCAAGCCCCAGTTCTTTATTTTTATTTAATTATCACATTTCAATTAATTTATATCCATTTTCTATTATAATTAAAGGTATTATATAAACTAGTCTTAGAAAACTTAATAAAATATAGACTTATTTTTTTATGAACTAATTTAAAAACTATATTGAAAAAATAAAATATTGAACAATAGACGAGGATTTTAATTTCCTCTAATTTTCTTTTATAGGTTCAGTTATAAACTCTTTTGTAAAATTAAATATAGAAATATTATGCTTTTAATAAAGGCAGATGTAAAAAAAAAAAAAAAAAAAAAAAAGAAATAAAATGTTCCGTATTTAAAGATATACCTGTAACCTTTTCGTATTTAATCTGGATTCGAGATATTTTGATTCCGGTCGAATTAGTATCGTGAAATATCTTACAATCCGCTTTGAGATAATACGAAGGTTTATGGTTTTATTTTATCATGAGTTGAATAAGTTTTTATTCATCTTTACTCATCCTGTTATTTTAGCTTCACTTCAATGCTTTCAGTATTATATTTTATTACCATTTATTCATAATCTTCACATAACTTGATACTTTTTTTTTAATAAATAAGACTTCTAATACTTCTCATACCGAACCATAATAAATCCAGCCTAAGTTCCGAATAGGACTTTATTTATTATCTGATTTACAGACATCTTACCTTATTTTTACATTTCCAAACTTTGTTCTATCAACGAAAAGTTTACATGAAAGACATAATTTACATCACGAATACTGTTATATCTTTATAACATTGCTTTGTTGATATACTCTTATGTAGAAGATATTGATTTTTCAGCGTTCATATGAGCTGATGGAATTAAACATTAATTGTTAATTCCTGTAAAGAAACAGAGAAGATGCCCTAGATAGAAATTACAATAATTATATAATAATGACAGTAGGAACGAACATTCGCAACCTCTTGTCCAGATATGAAATTTATTAATGTTTTCAAGAAAACGAGCTTTCTTGCAATAACCACAATTTAAGTAAATACGCTGAATATTGTTGTCCAAATGCAGACTCGTTTTGAGCCTAGTCATGTGCACTCAATCTTGGTCTTGGGCAAGATTCTTGCAGTTACCTGTTAGCTTATTGCTATTTATTAAATATGTTACTTGGAATCTTAGAAAAACAGAGTAGGTACATTTATATATTTTATTGACATTAACACTGTAAAGTCCAACCAAATTAATAAAATTAACTTGACAATAAATTGTCAAGAAAGACAGTGGTAAGTCCCCACCTTAAAACGGAAGCGTCATAGAGTACAGATCTATACAATGTCACCAATTATTTAAATTAAAAATCTGCTGTGTTCTTTCACATACCTTTCCTATCGATTTAATTTTTTTTCAATATTGAGTATGCTCATTATAATTAATAAATAATAATGATAAATAATTAGATTAATTTTCCTGATAACCGATCAGAGAAATCACCAGAATATTATTTCTTTGATGAAATAAAGCATTGTTAACGAGCTTGTGAACAATTATTAAAATCTGTGTATGAAGTTCAATCCACTATAACGTTGCTAAAACTGGTCGGATTCTCAAGATTTTTTTGATAGTTTTGTTGGAAATTTAATTTAACTTTTAATTAATTAATTAATAACCACTGCATATTACCGAGGTATCACTGTATTTTTTCAGAATGAATTTTTTATTAGAATGTAATTTTTCAGAAATTTAACTAAACCTCAAATGAAAAATTGGAAGTGTTAAATTCAAACGTATATTGTTTCTACCAATTCTTTACATATAGTAACAAAAATTATCTAGTATTAGTGAATATTTTCTTTTAATTTTTTTCACAATAACGTTTTTTTTACCAGTCTTTGTCAGATTTATAAAAATAAACTGAAGATTTTTGGGTAACGAAGACCGATTTTAAATTTTCGGTGAAATCTCACTCAATGGATATTCGAGCTACGATTTAGAAAGGGGATATCTAAACTCTCTTAGCGTAGATCTGATTCGGCCCGAAAAAGTTTTTACTATTATTTTAAAAATATAAGAAATTTTAAATCATTTAAGCCATATAACATGAAATAGATTAGATTTTAAATAAAAATTATTGACTATCTTACATTATTTGATGTATCGGTTAGATCGATGCTTCATTTTTGTGTTTTAAAATCGATATTTTGAGTACCATAAGCGAGTAAGCCATGATCCGAAGTACTTAGTGGAGCTTCCAATGTGCACGCAGGCTAAAATTTTTAGAGACTCTAGAATACTACAAAGATGTTATTTAATTTCACCATCATTCTAATAGTTTATTAGACTTTGCGAAGCTAGTCTAATGCCGAAGTGTTAAAGAGGTTGGGAGATCAAAAATTAATGATACCTGATCAATAAAATTACCT